TCAGCTTTAGGGGGAACGTGCCAGACGACAACACATTTATTTATTTTTTAATGAATACTTTAGGGCAAGGACAATATGCCTTTTGAAATTTGGGATACTACCTGCCCGGGGGAAAAGGCCCCCAAGCACCTTGGGTTCCCCCCCGGCCCAGGGACAGGGAGGAAAAAAAAAGGAAGGCCCAAGGGGAGGGGGAACAAAAACCCCCAGCGGCCCTGGGAGGGACCAAAGGAGGGAAAAAAACCCAAACCCCCGCCAGGGAGAAAACAAAAGGAGGAAGAAGAATTTTAAACCCCTCCTTCCTTCCCCCCCAACCCCCTCTCCCTTTTCTCTCTCCCAAACCCTCTCCTTCCTCTTCTCCCAAACCCCCCCCCTTTAATTTTTCTTTCCCCTTTTCCAAAAAAACCCCCCCCTTTCCTTTTTCTCCCAAAAACCCCTTTAATTCTCGGGCCCCAACCAAATAACCCGGGGTCCTGGACCCCTGGGGGGAAAAAAACGGGGCCCAATTTTTTTTCATCCGGCCCCTAGGGTTTTAGGCTCCCAAACCCCCAAAAGGGGGTCCGGGGGGGAGGGGGGTAGGAAAAGGATTTGGCCCAAAGGGCCTTTTTATGGGGGGCCTTCCGGGAGGGGCCCGTCCCCCTGGGGGGGAGTTTCCAGGGGAAAAGGGGAAAAAACAAGGGGATCAGGCCAAGGGAAACCCGGGGAAGGGAGGGCCCGGGAAACCCCCGGGTCCAACCTTTTGGGGTTTTATGTTTTTTGGGGGAAAAAAGGAATTTTTAAGGCCCCAAATTCTTTAAGGAAAGCCAGGGAAAAGTCAATTGGGAACGGGCCGGGTTTGGAATTTTTGGAGTTTTGTTTTTTTTGGGGGTTCTAAATTTTAAAATTCTTTGACTTCCCATGGGATTTTGTTGGGGTTTTGTTTTACTAGGGTTCTGTTTACGTTTTGGGTTTTGTTGCCCTTCTATTGGAAATTTTGTTGACGTTCTTTGGATTCTGTTGACGGGGTTTGTTGATGATTCCCTTTGGGTTTTTTTTTTGAAAGTTTAGGGGTTCCCAACCCCCATTGGGGAAAAATTTTTTGGACGTTTTTTGGAAATTTTTTGAAAATTTTTTGGGGGGATTTTGAAAAGTTTTTTTGTTGAAAAATGAAAAAGAGTTCCCACACCAAGAAGGGGAGTTTTGGGAAAACTATTTTTTGGAAAATTTTTGGAATTTCCCATAGGGCCTTTGGGGCATGTTTTTTTAAAAGTTTTTTTCTTTGGGGGTTACTTAAAAGGGTTTTTAAATTTATTCCCCGGGTTTTTTTGAGAAAATTTGGCTTTTAGTTTTCCCTATTTTGTTGGGAAACCCTATGGTTTTTGTTGCCCTTCATTGGTTTTTTGTTTACGTTCTATTGGGGTTTTGTTGAAGTTCTATTGGGTTCTGTTGAGTTTTTATTTTGGGGTTTTGTTTTTATTGGGGGGCTGTTTACTTCTATTGGGGTTTGTTTTACATTCATTGGTTTTTGTTAAGTTTATTGGGTTTTTTGAAGTTATTGGGTTCCCGTTATTTATTGGGTTTTTGTTAAAAAAAAATTTCTTTTTGGTTGGGGCCTTTTTTTTTGGGGGGATTCTTGGGGGGGGGGGCTAAGGCCAAAAAAAATTGGGTTTTTTTAAAATTGGGGGGTTGTTAATATTTGGTTTGGGTTTTAAAAATAAAACCTTTTTTTCCGGGGGTAAGTAAACAATGGTTGTATAAAAAATTGGGAGGGGTTTTAAGGGGTTTTGGGAAAAAACCCAAAAATTAAAAAAATTTCAAAAAAGATCCCCCAAAGAAAGCCGGCCGCGGGGGTTTTTAAAAAGGGGTTCCCCGGAACGTTCAGGAAATTAAGTCCCCCCAAACCCCAAAAGGAAATTTTGTTTGGCCCGTGTCTATAAATGTATAGAGCAGGGGATAAGCGGGGAAAAGAGGCCAAAGGGGGTGGTTTTTCACAGGGACCCAAAGGGAAGGGGGGGGGGGGGGGGGAAAAGAAAAAGGGAAAAATGTTTAAAGAAGGGGGGTGTAGGGGGGGAGGGGGGTAAGGGGGGGGAAAATTAGGGGAAAAAAAGAATAAGAAAAAAAAACAAATATATATTATATATATATATATATTATATTATATAAATATATATTATAAAAATATATGCGAGAGAAAAAAAATTGGGGGATTGGAAGTATGCAGCCCAAATTTAAATTTATGGAAGTTTTCAAACTATCTGCAATATTTTTTAAACTTCTACCCCCTTTAAAAAAAAATGTAAAAAAAACCCCTTGGAATTGTTTTTTAAAATGGGCATACCATGGATATTTTTGCTTTTTATTTGGAATTTTTTTGGGGGCCCCTTTTGGTTAAACCCACATTTTTTATTTTTTTTAGATTTAAATATAGAATTTGGTCTTTTCTACTAAGCCCATAGAAACGCATTTAAAAAACAATTCAGAAATGGCAAAAAACCCAAAGACAAAATAACAATTTTAAATCATAAGGGATAAGATTTTGGGAAATGTCTGTTTACAGAAAAACCCCCATACTTCCATTTTTGGGGGGGGGGGGTTTTCTTTTAGACAAGTCCTTTTGACCCGTTGGGGGGGGGGGGTAGGCGGAAGCCGTTTGGGGTTGGGCAGTTTTGCCCATGCAACTGACCCGATTAAAAAAATATTATATGTTACTTTGGGTTTACGAAATAGACTTTTAAGGGTTTAAGTTATGTTGGGTTTTTGTTTACGGTTTATTTTTGGGGGTTTTGGTTTAGTGAGTTGGGTTCTGTTGACTTTATACTGGTTCTGTTGGCGTGATGTTGAGTGAGTTGAGGGTTTTGTTGACGTGATTTTTGAGTTTTTGTTTAGTGGGTGTTGAGGTTTGTTGAGGTTTATTTTTAGTTTTTGTTGACGTTATGTGAGTTTGTTGAGTTTATATTGAGTTCTGTTAATGCAGTGGGGGGACCCAAATTTTTTGAGTAAGATCACTTTCGCATCAAAAAACAAGCAGAGATCTACCTCTCAAATTTTTTAAAAAAAATTTTGTAAAAAAAAAGTTTAAATCCTAATAAAAAAAAAGTTGTGTTTTGGGGAAAGGTTTGTGCATTTTGGGGTAATTTCATTACCTCATATTGGCTAATGCCTGGACTTCTTTTTATTCTCAGACCCTATTGATTTAAAAAAACCCAGGTTTTATGGCAAAAACAGATCAGTTGGTTTGTTTGCACTTCGAGGACAGCTGAGAAAAAATGGGAAAAAATTAGCAAGTAATTTGCTTTTTTTTTTTCTGGACGATGGTACCGGGATCTGATGGGTTTTGGGGCTTTCAAGGGCAACGGGGAAAAAAAGGAAAAAAAAGAGGGGAAAATCTGGTCAGTGAACTTAAAGGGCGGAAAGTCAGAGCCCCAAAAAAAAAGATGCTTGGGTTTTGAGTTGGATGGGGGGGGGGGGCCCCTTTAAAACCCATTTTCCCCAAATCGGATTTTTTTTTTTTTTTTACAGTTTCCCGTTTTTCTTTAAAGCATGATGTGGAATTCTGAAAAATTTTGAGTTTTCCAGGTTTCTGAACCCCGGCATTTGTCTGAGGGGAGGGAGGGGGAGAGAGCAGCAGAGGGTCCGGGCCCCCACGGGTCCCCGCTCTTCCTTCCCTTTCCCCCGGTTTAGAATGAACCCGAGAGAGGGGGGCCCCCGTCTTCCACCTGATGGCCAAAAATTAAATCCCACCGATCGGCCCCAGCCCCAAAAATTTAGTTTTTCCTATGACCAAGAAAGGAAAAAATTCCTCAAATAAAAAAAGACACAAAGAGCGGGTAATAATAATAATAACGCAGGGACGATACAAATACTTATTCATTGCAGCTCGAGTGGAAAATTGGGAGGGAAGGCGTTTTTTTGTTTTTATTAGGGTTGAATAAAAAAGTGGCCCCACCATAAAAATGAACTCACTCATTAAAAAAAGTAGCTCTTTTCTGTATTTTGCCCCGTCTCTCTTCTGGTCAGGTTTTTTAAAAAAATTATGAAATCTCCGTAGTTGTATCAAACTTTGCTTTTGGCTTGGGTCGGGGGAAGCTTTAGGTAGGAAAACTGGGTTGGCCCGCGCAAAGGGAGGCACAGGGGATTTGGGGCTATCCGATTGGCCCCGCGCCCCCGTAGGCACACCCCCGATTTAGCCCCCCGATCCCCGGTCCGCCCGGGGGAGGGGGGGGGGGAGTAAAATAGTCTTTTCAGAACCCCATAAAGGTTAAAAAAAGGGAAAAACTTTTTTTTTTTAACCCCGGGGGGGCCCCCCTTATGCCCTTAGTTGGCTGATCTACAAAAAAAAATTTTGCCCATCGGGCGGGGAAAACCTGGAAAAACAACCCTTCGATCGTGATTGACCCCGGTTTGGGGACCCCCCGTGGGTTTAAAGTTATTTTGGGTTCTTTTTCACCCTTTTTTGGGTTTTTTTTGAAATGGGGATAAAAGTTGCCCTGGTCATTGTGTTTTGTATGTCTTGCCCCCCTCTAAGGGAAAAAGGTTTTACCCCCGGATAAAACCCAGACCCCGATGGCACTAGGAGAGGCATTTGCTTAGCCTCTTCTCTGCAAAGGGGTGCAGGCCCCCCCCGCATAAACACGGCACAGGTATATTTTAAAACGAAACAGGAGGGGGGGTTCCCTTTAACCCCGTGGGAAAACTAAGCGGAATTGGGAGGGAAGGGGCAAAAATCCCCCAAAAAGGGTTTAAAATTTAATATTACTAAGACTCAACCGGGTTAAAAACAAACCAACATAAAAGTTAATTTACTTACTACAGCACTCATACAAAAATTTTTAAAAATTTTTACTTTTTTACTAAAAAGCCCAAAAAATTCCCCTTATAAATTTAATATACTAAAAACTCACCCCCCACCTTCAACAAGGGAAATAATTTACTATACAAAAATTCTCCTGCCTGAAGACGCTGGGGGCCCAGGGAACTCCGGTCTTAGAGGTAAGATAGGATCATTTATGTTCAGATATGATGAAATGCAATATGATAGCAGCTCCACCCTAGACTCTGGTGTTGAGGTAAGATAAGGGTTACAACTAAGTTAAGATGCAACTAAATGCAATACAATGTGATTGGGGCAACTACACCATCAACAGTATCACTTCAGTATTCAACATTTGTCCAGGGGGGAGGATCATTATACCCATAAACCTAGCGGTCAAACAGGGAAATGGTTTCGATCGTTTTGCCACCATTCATTTTTCCCATAGGGGATTTTGGAAACATTTAAAGTAAGGGCTGTGTTTTGTGTAGGCTTACCCTGGCGTGACGTTTTGATAACCATGTAAATCTCTCTAGGACAAGGTGACTTTTATCAATATATTCGCCTGTATTTACCCCCCAAAAATGTAAAGCTAATTAGCTGCTAATGTGGCTATCATTAAGAACTACAAATGCCATGATGATCTGGACTGCCTGAATTGAGGCAGTGTCACCAGCAAAGCACCCCCGCACCATAACACCTCCTCCTCCATGCTTTACGGTGGGAAATACACATGCGGAGATCATCCGTTCACCCACACCACGTCTCACAAAGACACAGCAGTTGGAACCAAATATCTCCAATTTAGACTCCAGACCAAAGGACACATTTCCACCGGTCTAATGTCCATTACTCGTGTTTCTTGGCCCAAGCAAGTCTCTTCTTATTATTGGTGTCCTTTAGTAGAGGTTTCTTTGCAGCATTTCAACCACGAAGGCCTGATTCACACAGTCTCCTCTGAACAGTTGATGTTGAGATGTGTCTGTTACTTTTATTTGGGCTGCAATTTCTGAGGCTGGTAACTAATGAATTTATCCTCTGCAGCAGAGGTAACTCTGAGTCTTCCATTCCTGTGGCGGTCCTCATGAGAGCCAGTTTCATCATAGCGCTTGATGGTTTTTGCGACTGCAGTTGAAGAAACTTTCAAAGTTCTTTAAATGCTCCGTATTGACTGATCTTCATGTCTTAAAGTAATGATGGACTGTCATTTCTCTTTGCTTATTTGAGCTGTTCTTGCCATAATATGGACTTGGTCTTTTACCAAATAGGGCTATCTTCTGTATACCCCCCTACCTTGTCACAACACAACTGATTGGCTCAAACGCATTAACAAGGAAATAAATTCCACAAATGAACTTTTAAGAAGGTACACCTGTTAATCGAAATGCATTCCAGGTGACTATCTCATGAAGCTGGTTGAGAGAATGCCAAGAGTGTGCAAAGCTGTCATCAAGGCAAAGGCTATTTGAAGAATCTCAAATATAAAATATATTTTGATTTGTTTAACACTTGTTTGGTTACTACATGATTCCATATGTGTTATTTCATAGTTTTGATGTCTTCACTATTATTCTACAATGTAAAAAATAGAAAAATAAATAAAAACTCTTGAATGAGTAGATGTGTCCAAACTTTTGACTGGTAGTGTATATATATATAAATATATATATTTACTAAAAATATATATGGGGGATTGGAATGATGCAAACAATTACGTTGATGGAAGCTACAATCTATCTGCAATATTAAAGTTGATCTATCCCCCTTCAAAAACAACAAAAAACATACTAGGTCATAGTAGGTCCATAACTTTAACTAAAAAAACGAATATTGGATTTCTTAACATATCTATTGTCCAGGTGACGGCCACAGACGCAGACGAGGGGGAGAACGGGAAGGTTATATATTTCCTGAGTCGAGAGGCGAGGGGCGCGTTCACTGCACGGTTCACTGTCCGACGAATACCTGGGGGCGATCAACAAAACGCATCGCCGCTGGAAACCGAGAGAGATAGCGTCGTACAGCTGTCCATGTGTTGCTGTGGACCTATCACCTGCAGAGCCCAAACAACCTCAGCTCAGGTACGTTCCAGAACGACAACACAATCATATCATTTTCAATGATACTTTATGTCCAAGGACACTATGCATTTTATATTGCATACTACCTTCCTCAGAGGATAAACTGTACCATCACATTTAGTTCACCTCTATCCTCCTTTGAGGGGAACACCGGAGACAGACGGGAGAGAAAACCAGAGCAGCACGCGAGAGCGCAACACCCCAGGACGGGCGCGCCCAAACGCGGGCAGGCAACCGGCTAAGGAGCGCCAAACCCTCTCTCCTCCCTCTACCAAACCCCAGACCCTCTCTCTCCTTCCTCTCTCTCCCAACCCTCTCTCTTTCCTCTCTCCCAACCCTCTCTCCTTCCTCTCTCTCCCAACCCAAACCCCCTTTTAATTCTCTGCTTCTTCGTAACCCAGATAACCGTGATGATCCTGGACATGAACGACAACGCTCCATTCTTCATCCAAGACCCCCTCGTCGTCGAGGTCTCGGCCAGCCAATCACAGCGGGTCCTGGCCACCATGCGGGCTGAGGACAAGGACTTTGGCGCCAACGGCTCTGTGTTCTATCGTTTCGCCGTTCCGGTGAGGGGTTTCAGCATCAACTCCCTAACGGGGGAGATCCAGGGGACGGAGGGGATAGACAAGCTGAGTCAGGCCCAGAGGACCCTCATGGTGGAGGCTATGGACCAAGGGACCCCGGCCCAGTCCAGCCTGGGGGTGGTGGTGGTCTATGTGAAGGAACAGGAATATACAGGCATCAGGTTCTCAAGGAACGCCAGGGACGTCAGCATACAGGAGAACGCCGCCAAAGGTTTGTGGTAACCTTATTTGGATAGTTCATGTTTTTTTTGGGGATAGTCCATCTATAGATGCTCAACTTACTATCAATAGACTAGACTATCGGTAACACGTCATCTGTTGGAACTGTTGCCTGTTACTCAGAATTCTGTTGACGTTCTGTTGGATTCTGTTGACGTTCTATTGGATTCTGTTGACGTTCTATTGGATTCTGTTGACGTTTTGTTGATGATCTATTGGGTTCTGTTGACGTTCTATTGGGTTCTGTTGACGTTCTATTGGATTCTGTTGACGTTCTATTGGATTCTGTTGACGTTTTATTGGATTCTGTTGATGATCTATTGGGTTTTGTTGACGTGATAGGGAGATTCCACACCAGCGGGAGTGGAAAATATTTTTGGTATCAGATTTTTCTGGACATTCTCACATAGAAACTTCATTGGGAGAAAGCATGTTTGAAATGCTTTTTACATTTGTGATACAAATGTAAAAAGCATGTTAAACATCCTTATTCCCCAATGAAGTTTCTATGTGAGAATTGCCAGAACAATCTGAGTTTTCCCGAAATATTTTTGTGGAATTGCCCGATATTGGGTTCTGTTGACGTTCTATTGGTTTCTGTTTACTTTCTATTGGGTTCTGTTGACGTTCTATTGGGTTCTGTTGACGTTCTATTGGGTTCTGTTGACGTTCTATTGGGTTCTGTTGACGTTCTATTGGGTTCTGTTGACATTCTATTGGTTTCTGTTGACGTTCTATTGGTTTCTGTTGACGTTCTATTGGGTTCTGTTGACGTTCTATTGGGTTCTGTTGATGTTCTATTGGGTTCTGTTTTATTGGTTTCTGTTGACATTCTATTAGGTTCTGTTGACATTCTATTGGATTCTGCTAATGTTCTATTGGGTTTTGTTGAAGTTCTATTCGACTCTGTTAATATTATGTTGGGTTCTGTTAAAAAAGTATAATCTTTCGGGGGTTGGGGGGGCGGGTACTAAGCTAACATATGGAATTGTATAGATGGGAGGTGTTGAATGGAGTTGGATGGGACTAATAACAACTAACAACAACTAATAACAACAAGATAACTAATGTAAAGCATACTGTGTCCATAATAAGTATATAGGTTATAGGTTGAGAGCTTTTGTGAAAGAGCACAGTTAGAAAGATATGGCAAACCGCATGGACATCATGAAAATGATCGGAGAGGTTGAGGGTACAGGAAGTTCAGGAGTAAAACAAACAAAATGGAATTATTGTAAAATTGACTGTGTCTATAAAATGTATATAGCATGTATAAGCTGGAAGTAGAGGCCTAAGCGTTGTTGTTCACTAGTTTACTCCAATTAGGGAAGGGGTGGTGGGGTTGGAAAGTAATAAAGGGAAATATATTTTTTTAAAGGATATGTATGTATGTATGTATGTGTGTGTATGTATGTGTATATATATATATATATATATATATATATATTATATATATATATATATATATATATATATATATATAGATATATATATATATATATATATATATATATATATATATATATATATATATGCGAGAGAAAAAAACATATGGGGGATTGGAAGTGATGCAGACAATTACATTGATGGAAGTTACAATCTATCTGCAATATTTAAGCTTCTACCCCTTAAAAAAAACTGTAAAAAAAACCATATGGAATTGTTTTAAGATGGTCATACCATGGATCATTTAGCTATTTTATTTGGAATTTTAGGACCCCTTTAGGTATCCCACATTTTTTATTTTATTAGATGAAATATAGAATTTGGTCTTTACTACTATAGCCCATAGAAACGCATTGAATAACACATTCAGAAATGGCAAAAACAATGACAGTAACAATATAAATCATAAGGGATAAGATTTTGAAGTGTCTGTTCTACAGAAAACTACCTCCATACTTCCATTCATTTGTAGGGGGTTACCTTCAGACAAGTCCTGTGACAGTTGTGGGGGTCGTAGGCGGATGCCGTGGATTGACACGTAGCCCATGCAACTGACTGATTAAAAAAATATATATATGTTACTTGGATTGACGCACAATAGACTTTTAAGGATTAATGTTATGTTGGGTTCTGTTGACGTGATGTTGGGTTCTGTTGACGTGATGTTGGGTTCTGTTGACGTGATACTGAGTTCTGTTGACGTGATGTTGACGTGATGTTGAGTTCTGTTGACGTGATGTTGAGTTCTGTTGACGTGATGTTGAGTTCTGTTGACGTGATGTTGAGTTCTGTTGACGTGATGTTGAGTTCTGTTGACGTGATATTGAGTTCTGTTAATGCAGTGGTCACCAACCTTTTCTGAGTCAAGATCACTTTCGCAGTCAAAAAGCAAGCAGAGATCTACCTCTCAGAATTTTTTAAAAACATTATGTAAAAAAATGTAACATCCTAATAAAAACAGTTGTGTAGGAATGAGATTTGTGCATTAGGCCTAATACATTATCACATCATATTGGCTATATGCCTGGACTCTCTATTGTTATTCTCAGACCATATTGTATTTAAAAACTCGAGCTTTGATAGCAAAACAGATCAGTTGGTGTAGCACTTGCGAGGCACAGCTGAGCATAAATGGAAATAATTAGCAAGTAATTTGCTTTTTTTATTTTACTGGACTGATGGTACCTGCATCTGATGGTCATGGTGCTTTCAAGACAACTGGGAACTCAGAAAAAAACGAGGTCAAATCATGACGTCAGTGAACTTCAGGTCGGAAAGTCAGAGCTCTAGAAAGATGCTTGGGTTTCTGAGTTGGATGACCGTTCAAAACGATTTTCCCCAGTCGGATCTTTTTTTTTTTTTCACAGTTCCCAGTTGTCTTGAACGCACTGATGTCGGAATTCTGAAATTTCTGAGTTCCTAGTTGTCTTGAACACGGCATTAGTCTGAGCGGAGGGAGGGAGAGAGCAGCAGAGGGTCCGCCTCTCACGGTCCCTGCTCTCTCCTTCCTTTCCTCCGGTGAGACTGACCAGAGAGAGGGGACACCGTCTTCCACCTGATGGCCAAACTCTAGTCACACCGCATCTGCCTCAGCCACAAATTCACGTTGTTCCTATGACCAGAGAAAGTGAAATATTCCTCAATATTAAAATAGACACAACGAGCTGCTAATAATAATAATAACGCAGGGCATCGATACACTACTTATTCATTGCAGCTCGAGTGGAAGTGGAGAGAAGCGCGTTTTATGTTTTGTAATAGTGTTGAATAAAAACAGTGGCTCACTCATAAACATGAACTCACTCATAAAAACAGTAGCTCTTTGCTGTATTCTTTGACAGTCTCTCTCTCTGGTCATGGTTTTAAAAGTTATGAAATCTCACGTAGTCTAGTATCAAACTTTGCTGTGGCTAGGGTCGTGGAAGCTGTAGGTAGGCTATCTGATTGGCCAGCGCAGTAGGCACAGTGATTTGAGCTATCCGATTGGCCAGCGCAGTAGGCACACTCGATTTAGCCACAGATCTCCCGGTCCGCCGGGTAGGCGGAGTATGTCTTTTCAGACACATTAAATGGTTAAAAATGGGAACACTTTTTTTTCTACCCGGTGCCCTTCATGCCATTATCGTTGGCTGATCTACAAAAAATGTTTTGCCGATCGACTAGGAATACCTTGAAGAACAACCATTCGATCGTGATTGACCCGGTTGGTGACCACCGTGTTAATGTTATGTTGGGTTCTTGTTCACGTTTTTATTGGATTCTTGTTGAAATGCATAACGTTGCTCCCTGGTCATTGTGTTCTGTATGTCTTGCCCTCGCTCTACAGGAACGGCTGTAGCCCAGGATCAAGCCCAGTACCCCGATGGCACTAGGAGAGGCATCAGCTATAGCCTCTTCTCTGGCAACAGACTGCAGGCCTTCAGCATCAGCACTGGCACAGGTACTATAGCGATCACAGGAGGCTGGTGGCACCTTTAATTGGGGAGGACGGGCACGTGGTAATGGCTGGAGCGGAATAGTTAGAACGGTATCAACAACATCCAACATCAAAGAGTTAATATTACTATACTACAGCACTCATACAGTTAATATTACTATACTACAGCACTCATATAGTTAATATTACTATACTACAGCACTCATACAGTTAATATTACTATACCACAGTACTCATACAGTTAGTATTACTATACCACAGCACTCATATAGTTAATATTACTATACCACAGTACTCATACAGTTACTATTACTATACTACAGTACTCATACAGTTAATATTACTATACTACAGTACTCATACAGTTAATATTACTATACTACAGCACTCATACAGTTAATATTACTATACTACAGCACTCATATAGTTAATATTACTATACTACAGTACTCATACAGTTAATATTACTATACTACAGTACTCATACAGTTAATATTACTATACTACAGCACTCATACAGTTAATATTACTATACTACAGTACTCATATAGTTAATATTACTATACCACATCACTCATATAGTTAATATTACTATACCACAGCACTCATATAGTTAATATTACTATACTACAGCACTCATATAGTTAATATTACTATACTACAGTACTCATATAGTTAATATTACTATACTACAGTACTCATACAGTTAATATTACTATGTCAACAGGATAGATAGACAGTAGCAGCAGTGTGTGTGGTTAGTGAGAATGTGTGGGTGTTTTAATGTGGGCATATGTAGTTTGTTGGGAGTATGAAAAAATAAATAAAAAATGTACGCTGTCACTAACTGTAAGTCGCTCTGGATAAGAGCGTCTGCTAAATGACTAAAATGTAAATGTAAAATGTACAGCACTCATAGAGTTAATATTACAATACTACATCACTCATAGAGTTAATATTACTATACCACAGCACTCATAGAGTTAACAACACAGTGTAGAGGAATCAGCTACAGACTCTTCTCTGGAAACAGATAGAGAACGCAGGTGGGACATACACTACATGACCAAAGGTATGTGGACACCTGCTCGTCTAACATCTCATTCCAAAATCATGGGCATTAATATGGAGTTGGTCCCCCCCTTTGCTGCTATAACAGCCTCCACTCTTCTGGGAAGGCTTTCCACTAGATGTTGGAACATCGCTGCGGGGACTTGCTTCCATTCAGCCACAAGAGCATTAGTGAGGTCGGGCACTGATATTGGGCGATTAGGCCTGGCTCGCAGTTGAAGTTCCAATTCATCCCAAAGGTGTTCGATGGGATCAGGGCTCTGTGCAGGCCAGTCAAGTTCTTCCACACCGATCTCGACAAACCATTTCTGTATGGACCTCACTTTGTGCACGGGGGCATTGTCATGCTGAAACAGGAAAGGGCCTTCCCCAAACTGTTGCCACAAAGTTGGAAGCGCAGAATCATCTAGAATGTCATTGTATGCTGTAGCATTAAGATTTCCCTTCACTGGAACTAAGGGGCCTAGTCCGAACCATGAAAAACAGCCCCAGACCATTATTCCTCCTCCACCAAGCTTTACAGTTGGCACTATGCATTGGGGCAGGTTGCGTTCTCCTGGCATCCGCCAAACCCAAATTCGTCCGTGATTCATCACTCCAGAGAACGCGTTTCCAATGTTCCAGAGTCCGATGGTGGCGAGCTTTACACCACTCCAACCAACGCTTGGCATTGCGCATGGTGATCCTAGGCTTGTGTGCGGCTGCTCGGCCATGGAAACCCATTTCATGAAGCTCCCGACTAACAGATCTTGTGCTGACGTTGCTTCCAGAGGCAGTTTGGAACTCGGTAGTGAGTGTTGCAACCGAGGACAGATGATTTTTACGCGCTTCAGAACTCGGCGGTCCCGTTCTGTGAGCTTGTGTGGCCTACCACTTCGCGGCTGAGCCGTTGTTGCTCCTAGACATTTCCACTTCACAATAACAGCACTTACAGTTGACCGGGGCAGCTCTAGCAGGGCAGGAATTTCACAAACTGACTTATTGCAAAGGTGGCATCCTATGACCAGTGGCGGCTCCTGAAAAAATTCTCAGGAGGGGCAATTTTTCTGATGATTTAGGTGACCTACACACATTTTAAAAAAGATATGTCCAGCAACAACATGAAGACAGGGGCAGCATATAAGTCAATACCAGAAGCATTTATTGACTGATCTCAAAAGTGTTGGCTTACCAGGGTTGGTGGAGCCCTCAGTTTCATCTTTGCCTCGCAAAGCTAACTCAAACACTCCGCAAAACTTCACACACTGGATTAGCCGGCTGAGGATGTGGCGGTTCTTGCTAATGTCGTAGTAAATATATTTGTTATAGTGAATATGGAATATGATATGTTGAGTAAAATGTTGTGCTAAGATCTATTTAGGTCAGGAGCTGGTTATAAGTTCTGTTCCTATCCAATAACAATGGACAAAAGGGTCCTATCTTGTCAGCCTTGTCAGCAGGTGGCCAAGGACAACACCCACGCCATAGGCCTCTCAGTTCTTCCAACTCACGAGTTCTTGCTCTGAGGACACACACACACACACACACAAACACACACACACACACATCATCACTGTTAAACACACACACACACACACACACACACACACACACACACACACACACACACACACATCATCACTGTTAAACACACACACACACACACACACACAAAAATCCCCTCTCTTAGGCTGAACATTTGAAGACAGAGAACCCGACTCAGAGCCAATGCAACAGTGACAGTAGCCTGGAGGGGACCTCGCCCAACTCATCAGGACCAATCAGAAGATCAGAACTACTAGATTCAACCTACTTCATTTATTGCATAAAATGTCTGCACACAATGTTTCGGGGCTCTCTTCAGATAATAATAATAATAATAATAATATGCCATTTAGCAGACGCTTTTATCCAAAGCGACTTACAGTCATGCGTGCATACATTTTTGTGTATGGGTGGTCCCGGGGATCGAACCCACTACCTTGGCGTTACAAGCACCATGCTCTACCAGCTGAGCTACAGAAAGTGGATACTCATGGATGCGCATCGCAATTGTAAAATGTCAACACAATTGGAGACACCACGTCATTTTTGGAGACATGTTATTGACAGTAAACTATTGTAGATGCGACTGCTAACTAAATAAAACATTTTAGCTGGCTAGCTAATCATCTTAGCTAAATGTGGGGCAAACAATTCAGTTATTTACCGTTAATTTGAGGGATTGGGGTGAAAGAAATCGAGTTACATAGTGATACTTTACGATATACTGTATTGACAATATCGCAATATTTTAGCGCTAGTTGGCTGTACCTGCACCAAAACACCATTATTGTTCCTTCATAGCTTGTTCTCAATCTTTTCACATTGGGAGCCAATTTGTTTTCAGCACTT